AAAGAAAGTGGTCCTGAGTTAAGTACCTTCTTGATGGAGACTGATGGACTTCGGTTTTATGCCTAATGAGAGTAAGACAGCAAAAAAAGAATAACTGACGGGTAACAACACAAATAATCTTGATTTTAAGGCTTAATCAATTAATTGAGTGTGGGAGAGGCGTCAAACCACTTTGCGGATTATTCTCTAAAGTGAGCCTAGTGGGGGTCGACTCCGTGTGCAGTAAAAGTGACTCTCTTGATCACTTTCTTGGTGATAGGCTCTCTTGATTAGGTCCCTACAAATTAAGCTGAAATCACCCTCGACAAAAAAATGTACGAATCAAGTGGACGTTTGTTGTATGAAATTTCATCGAGTAAACATTGAGCATGTAATCAGTTCTCATAGATTTCCTTGTGAATAAATGATTTGTAAATCATCATCAACAGTACCTTATGATGTGTCCGGGATGAAGTTTGGTGTGAGCGGTGACTAGCATTGTGCATGACATGGAACGGTCATGAATGACACCCTGTGATACTTTTGGATAAGGGCAACTACGAGCAATACTCGATGCAGCATTTGAGTAAGGGCTCATAGCGGAACTTTGAACTGGACACGGATAATATATCGTCATCCTTGATTGTGAATGCTGCACTCAGCATGGTGTAAGGTTAAAATCACGCTCAATTTTGATTAGAGCAACGAATCAATGATGCATGTGCCTGGGGCCCTAGGGGCACTCAAAAAGATGAATAGGTAGAGTTCAAGACGTGGAGGATTTTGTGACTAGTTGTTTCTTTAGACAATTATCTACATACTTAAACTAATAGAACTAAGTTCTAACGGTTAATAGTGGGTCTGAGCTTCCCATTCCTCGGTTGGCCAAAAGATGCTCACGAAAGATAAAAAAACCCATCTGTTTTGGTTTGGGATTATACCTTTGATGCTTTCCCTTAGTAAGCGAGTCTTTGCCCTGAGTTGAGCCCTTTTACAGATTAAGATTCTGGTGTAGGGCTGACGGGTCAACACAAGTAAAACACTCCTATGAGTCAAAACTTGGACTTCAAGAGACGGCAGGACGGAGCCTTACGAAGTGTCTCGTGAAATGTTCCCAGTGCAGGTGACGTGCGTGACATGAATATTAGTTACCCTCTCCAAAATTTGATAAGGAGTAAGAAGGGTCTAAGTTGTGTCAGTTGTGCACGTTTCATAAGTAAACTTCATACTCCAATTATGCTATGTGTCACGATAGCTCATTATACAAGTAAGAGTCACTTTTTGTCACTCTTAGCAGTAAACAAACAACATTCGTTCACTGCGGCGTCCTAACGGCACAACAACTTTTGTCTTGGACGTCCGGTGCGCTAGGCAAGGGTCAGTCACGAGCCAGCTTGATTGAACCCTTGATACCTCGCATGGTAACGTTGGATTGTACACTGTCTCGATTGTGCAACCTTAGATGAGGTTGAATGTTGATCATCCATTTTGGGCCTCCGCAGCTGACTATGTACTACGAACCTTAAAAAAAGATTACATAAACGAAAATTTATTCATGAAGAAGATAACATGAGCATTACTATCATGGCGTTATCATCTCCTTCCTGACTTTCCTTGGCTTCACACCGCCAAGAATACTCAATCCTTCCACTCATCACGCCACTCAGATTGAGAGTTTGCATGTAAGTGCTTAACACTTTGACCGTTTGACGTGAAATGTGTATTTCGTTCATTTTAGAGTAGCGTGTCACCAAGGTCCTTGAGCTTGCTTCCTATATCGTTGCCTGTTTGCGGATGGAAAGTTTGAGTGAATATCAGAAACCCCGACATACGAAGGGTTATCAACTCACCTCCTAGCCTCTCATCCAAGAACAACTACAATGGGATTTCGTTGAGGGGAAGGGCAGAATCCGGAGGGTGTGAATACACTAGCAACCTCTTGCACTCTTCACTGAAACAAACTGGATGGTTGGGAAAAGAGAGCAGCGGAGAACACTCTGTACTACTTGAGAATCACGAGAGAGCAAGCACTGAAGTTAGTGAAAGAACAAAAGTTCATTGAGTGCACCTTCTGTATCTATGGGTCTGATGAGAAACTGCACGACGCTACCCCGTCCCGAAAGACTGCGTGAAAAAGGGATGAGAGCGACCTAGAAGTGATGGGCATGTTTTGAGGTAGCATATTCCGGACCTCTACGAGACATTCCCCGGGTCGGACAATGTCATGAATGGTGACTCCGTGAGTAACGGATCCGCTTATCTTTTCTGCAGGACAAAACATAATGAATTCCTGACATTGAATAACCATCAATCAACTTGAGAAAATTATGAGAATTCTCTCGCGAACTCAACCCCGAGGAGTTTGAAGGAATCATGAAAGAGGATAAGGTCCTCGTGTTGATATATAGGTCAAACAGAGACAAGAAAGAGGGATGGGAAGACGAGGCATGTCGAGAGATGGATTCCCATAGGCAGGATTAGAGGGAACAGGCAGTCCGGATGATCAAAGAAGAGGAGTACATTGAACATGTGTTGTATTTTCATGACCATAGTGGCAGGTTGCACAACACGGGCTCGTTTCTAGAGACGGTGGAGCAGGCCAGGGCAAGGCTCAGGTAAGCACAAAAGTGTCAAAACTTCTTCACTAACATTCCATCCGTCAAAAACGGTCCAGCAGGCAGTGTTTTTCTCGGTATTTCATCATTGAGTGACTAGTGTATAGTGCCTTTACTCCAACAACATTCATTCATCTGAGTCATCATAAAGCATCAGTCAGATTCAGCCAAGCGTTCAGTCATTTTCATTTACCTCAGAGGTCATTTCCAATCAGACAGTGTTTTCCTTCAAAGACATCGGGTCGGTTTTCAGTAATCATCTCTGCCCATGAGTGCAGTTTAATCATCCCCTGTCAATGAATCTGTTTTGACCAGTCTCAACAGGATAGCCCTCAAGGATGCTATCCAATATCAATACGCCTGTGCAATTGGCTTCAGTCAGGGAGGTTTGTCAGTCTTCATTGTCCTCACCAGATTCGCGGGTGACACTTTTCATGACCTGAGGCCCTACGTGAAGAAAGGCAACGAGGCTCATGAACATTTTGACTCAGTCTGGATTTCGCCTGCAAAGTACCTTGAGGAGAAAGAGAGAGTGTTTGACGAGAGTGGTACAAAGCTGATCCGCAGCTTCAGACCTAAGCCTTACACTTATTAACCCAAGCCTCCAGTACCTTTCACCCTCACAGATGGTTCTTATTGGGGAGACTTGGCAGACCTGGCCAAGAGGTATATCTCTCCTGAAACGATTGATTATGAGGCAGTGACCGAACCCTCAGAGTTTCGACATCTTAGACGAGGGATCTTCTCTCAACGATATTTTCCTACTCTATGGGAGAAGTTTTGTGCTATGGTTGGCTTCCGTATCATTGGACTTGGATGAAAGTGCTAGTAAAAAGAAAGCTACAACAATCACTCATAAACCAAACGGAGTCGACCGTAGTCGACGGAAATACATATACAATCTCAAATTGTAACTTAAAGAATCAAAATCATCATTAGATACATTTAATAACGCAAGATTGAAATACAATCCGACCATCTCAGGTCGAACACCAATAAACGACCAAACAACTGCCAACAAGGAGTTGGTTACCGACAATAACATTGATGCAACCGACAAGGTAATCGACTGCCTTAGTTTTGACTTGATGAGACGCGTTGCCAAAGTCATTTATTCCAACCTACCGCTGACCTAAGATTAAGCACACATACCTGTCTCCATACATTTCCAACCTTTCTTGGATGACAAGTTGCTTTGCGAATAATTTTTTGATTAGGTGCATTTCTTATAGTGTTGCCTGTCTCACCCTGAAGGAAGTGGTCTGGGTACTCCTTCTCCTCGTCCGAGCACAAGACTCGGATCTGAGAAGTCGGGCCGTCTCCACCGAATCGGCGAAGTACCCCCCCGTAGAACGGTCCACTCTGGGTCGGTAACAGGGTTGGCTCCTAAAGCACCGAACCTCCGCCCCAGATGCTTCTTTGAAAGAAAGAAAATGTTCACTGCAAGTAAATTTTTAGTTATTCTCACCATCCCTTGCCCAAGGTAACTCAGACGAAAAGAGTTAGAAGAGATAAAAAATGAGAATCATTTAGACATGTACCGATAGATATGGTCATTCAGGATAGAAAGGGTCAATCCTCGGGATAATACTATGTTCGTTTGACCTTATATGCTTTCTTTCAATCAAATTCGTTTTATGGTTCGCATATAATTAACGTTTCTCAAGACAACATTTTTTTTTTTGACACGAAGGCAGATGAGAAGTAAAAAGAAGGACAATCATTTTCCCGCTTCTCAAATATGCATAATCAACCTCCTTTAAAAACATTTTTCTGCCTACCTGCAAAAAAAAAAAAAGCAACCAAAGGTCAAATATTATACATCGATTGTAGGTAATTAAATAAATTAAATAAATAAAAATTTATCCAAAGAATTTTGGGGCAATTAAATAGTTAATCGGTATGAAAAATCAATCAAGTAATTATCAACCATCCCGGGAGCTATTTCCGACGGCGTTAGCTGTTTGCTCAGACCCATACGGACTGAGTAGCCTGGTTATTTACTACCATCCACGTAAGGCTTCTTTACATGTATGGGCCCAATTAACCCTAATCGCTGAGTGTGTGTCAACTATTACCTCGTATCTCTGCGGAGCTCCCAATCCCGGTGCAGCCGTACCGCGACAATGATTGCCTGCCTCCGCCTAGTGTATCCATCAAACTTGAAGTACTTGTATACAGATACCTGATTTTTACTAATTTTAGTGCTGGTTATTTTCCAAATGCGTGTCACACGTGCGGGTAATCTATAAGCCCAGGGGCGGGCCGAATATATCTTTTAGGGAGGAGTATATTTACTTCGATCACTGCAGATTATTGACGAATCCGCGGTCGGCCTGTCTGTATGGAGAAAGGTATATAGCGGAGTACGGGTGAGACTATGTTCGTACCGCTTAGATATTCAGAATCAAGACCCAGGCGTGGGACTGAGCATTAATGTCTTGAGATAAACCGAGAGAGCTGATCCCTTTGAGAGATAAGGCCGAGACTGGTCAGTGTAGATTGCCGACCTATTCTAGGAAAGGAGAAGCCAATGAGAACACTGTCTATGAGATATTGAGTAAAGTTGGAAAAACATCGTATTCTACCCGGATAGTTGTGTCCGAGCGGACCAGCTACATGCTACTCTCAGCAGCCTATTTCCGGAAAGAGACGGAATGTTAGTGTCCAAGTAGGTAAGAATGAGAATGATTCGATAGTGTTAGGACGCATCCGGGTTGTGGCCAGGAATTGCATTCATACCTCAGCGGATTTGTTCCAAGTAGGGCTTTGGCGTTTCGGCGTGTGCCCACTGTCTGTAGCATATACCGGTTCGTATCAGTGCGGACGCCTCCGCGCATCCACTGTTGTCATTCGTACACGTTAACACAGTAACCTCCCGCAGAGTTACCCACCCACCTCACTCGCTTCACCTCCCCGAGGTAAATTTTCCTCACTGAGCGTGAGGGCGGCTATGGCAGTTCCTCCCTACCAGCATTGGGCGTGTAGGGATGACGGGTAACGCCGGTAACGCAGAGAGAAGTCATTAGCGGCAACGCAACGCACAGCTGTTGATTCTTTTTTGAATCCCTTGGGCTTTCTCTTCTTTTTTGTTTCCCTTGTCTGACAGACTGACATCACAGGTGACACCTGTAGTTATGACGCCCGGCCTGACAACACAGCTGCTGATTCGTTCATTGCTTTCTCGAACTGGACGCCTGTTTTCTTCGCTGTGTTTTTCTTTTCTTTTTGTTCTTTTTTTTTTTTTTTTTTTTT